ATTCATTACAGTCTTACAGATTACCAAACAAAGAATGAGGCAAATTCTAAGAAAAAAGAAAGAGATTTTTTTTTTTTTTTTTAGAAAAAAGAGGAGGTTGTCATTGCAGAAATAATTGGTTGGATTGGACAGAACACGGTCATGTTACTCACTTCCTTCAGGGATGGTTTCCAGCAATGGCTGCCACCTTGTTGGAAAACAGGCTCCATAACCTCAATATTTCTGCATTTTCACAAGCATCTCCCCTGTAAATATCTTCTTCGACAGCAATTCTCGGAGCTCTTTCTTTTTCATAACCAATTTAATTCTCTTAACCCCATTTGCAGGCTCCATGTCTACCGGATGAGTAGAATTATCAGTACAAGTATCCATAAATTCCGGTTTCTGACTTCTGAGAAACGTAAACCTTTCCAGGCTTTCCGATGAGATTTATAGGATGAAAAACAATGGCAACCATTGCCCATGGTTGGTTCAAAAATACAGATGAAAGGCATTGAATAAAGGAGAAGCAGCGTAGGTACAACTGGCTGGAGAGAGCAGCTGAGAAGCTAAGTTGAAGGGGACAACGTACCATGCGCGTTTTCATTAACATAAGAGGGACGAATCTGTTGTGTCACAGAGCCTTTTCTGTTACATTACTTTTGTCCTCGTCGACATGGGAATTTAGCAGCTTTAAGGACAATTTCCACAAGGACCAGAATCAAGCTTGCAGCTCAACAGCTAAGATGCATTTTCCTCAAACCATAATCATAAGAAATGGGTTTGAATCCCTCCATTATTAAAAACGAGAATTGTGTTTATGAGTCCTAACTCTTAAATGTTTTGGTAACGAGGGGATTCACCCATCTTGAATCTTTGCCCTGAAATACAGTTCATCAGCAGGACCAATATATAACAGTTACTACAGAGTGAACAGAGAGGCCAATGGAAGATTAATTCGGGACAAACCAAGTCCAAACTACTAGGCAATAGCATAAAATATCTTTCAAAGCCTCAAGGTTCCATCCAACTCCAGGCATTGCCTAGATAGACAAAAGGTGATCCATATTAGAGTTTATAATGATGCTCACAGGCTTACTACCACGGGGAAAAAAGTGCAAATAAACAGAAATGAGAAACATCTTTACATGTGTGTGTATGTATTTTAATATATGGACCAGTACTAAATCAATCTGGGACACCAAGATGGCTCAATTAATGGGAAGACGAGGAGTGCGTGGCCGGACTGGGGTCTTTGATGGGCTTACCCTGATCATTCAAAAACCAAGAGCTAACTTAAGGTCAACACAAGAAACACCATAACCACCTCTTTTTTTTGGAGAAATAGATACCAAAATTGTTTAGGGAAAAAACAAGAAAGAATGGAATCTAACCTTATAGGCAGTGATCCCAAAACCACACCACTACAATTGAGAGCAGCAATTGCGCTTTCAGCCTACAGGGAAATAGAAAGATTATGTAACTCTATTCATACATAAGGTGCCAATCAAATCATTTTCCAGAAAGGAAGCCGATTATCACCTATAAAATCCAAAACCTTTTCACAAATTTTGAGTAACTCAGTTACATAGATGCTTCAATCCAATTTATTTTATCTGCTCCACTAAGAACTTGTATCTCGTTTATTGCTGACATAATGCTAGGTGCAACCAATTATGGCCAAACTAGCCAAACTACCAGCTTGAAAATTGAAATCAATGGCAAAAGAAACAGCCTTAAATAGCAACATTTTTACAAAATTAAGGAGAATAATCACAATTCACAGCTGGTATGCAACTTCTATAACAGAAGGAAATAAAATTATTAATTGTAGCAACCAAAATTATTTAGACCACACAAAACCATGGGACTGAATGACCAATCCTTGAAAATCAAAGAAGCACTAGAACAAAGATCACACTAACAGATAAACTTGAAAGAGAATATAGTTAACTTTCTGTAACAGAGATAGCTATGAACCTCAATAGCTAGCTAGAGTGCAAAAGACGGGTAGGTGGTTGCTTTACCAAATGGTTGTATCACAGCAGCCGAATGATTATAGAGATTCTACAAAATCCAAATTCATCCGACAATTTGTTCATATGGAAATGCTAGAGGACTAGCTATACTGAACCCTCTTCCCCAACCAATGCACTAGATCAATTCCTTTAACTAAAAATCAAGCCTAAAATTTTTATTTGAAACAAAGGACTACATCCAGATTCTGCAAGAGGGCCATCAAGTGTAAGGGGACTATTGATTGCTACAAGGCTCATGTTCTAGCCAAAGGCTACAACCTGGATGATGGAATATGAAATGAAAAGTGATAAATACAGTCGTAAAACAAACTGGTTAATCCACAGAATTTAAGCCTAACAAGTAATAGCAGTGCATAGCTGAAGGAGCTGAGCAGGGGAAGTAACATCATAAAGCACAATAGTTCACACACTAGTGTCAGAGGTCTAAAATCCTAATTCTAATTGAACAGAGACTTAATAGGAGACATGATTATCCCAAATTAATTCTAATAGAAACAGAAAACTGAAGAAGAACCAAAATAAAACCAAATAACAAATTTGATTCTAACCTTTACAAGCTCCTTCTATATTCAGGTGTATTAGCTCATATCAATTTCATAAAGTTTAGAGACACTGCCAGGTGATCCCAATAAAAATAATTTTATACCTTGTTCCAAATTTCAGTATAATTTCAAAAGAAAGAAATGCATTCATCCTAAAAAAGCATGCTGCATACAATGGGGTGATTGATATAATGGTATTGGACTACAGTCACCATATAAGAGTTCAGATAGAGACTCAGTTCTATTTAAGTTTCCATCAGGTAACAGATATTGTAATCAAGATTTAAAACCTGTAGTTACCTTGTCAAAGCCTTCAAAGAACTTCACTCAAAAGATACAAACAATATATATATATATATATATAGAGAGAGAGAGAGAGAGAGAGAATGATAAGGAGATAGACTAATTACCAGTACAAACTCCACAAAAGCAATACGAGTGGAATGATGATAGTCTCCTAGTAACCTTAAGCGATAAACCTGCATCAGACAAGATATAAGTTAACGCCCCAGAGTTGGTGATGTAAATATTTAAAGAAATGGATGTGTTGTTTTTGTAAGATCTTAACAAACCTCCCCACAGACTGATTCAAAAAGGAGCTTAACATCTGCTTGAGATACCTGCAAATAAAAGAAATCACGAAACATGTGTAAAGGATTGAAAGCCCAAAGTAAGGATTGCTTTGCTGGTCAACAAATAAAAGAAGAAGACTTCACCTTCTTATCAATGTTTGTACAATAGATAGTTCTTGCACACATTTCACGTTCATCTTCATTCTGAAATCCAACATACATAACATTAAACAGAGCATATAGAGAGTAAAATGGATAACCAGGACTACAAGTTATCAAGCATTAATGAACTCTCGTGTATCCTAACCATCAAATGAGCCTTACCCTAGGCAAAAATGTTGGGTTAACAGGTGCAATTGCTGTTTTGGAAGGCAAGACCTTTAGAGGATAGAATCCAAGCATTGTCCCTGAGAGACTCAGAGCTGTCTGTGCCCCCTCTGGAAAGAGCAATGAACATATAACCATCTCATTTAAGATTCAACAACTAACTAAAAAGCCCATAAATCAACCAATAACAAGACCAAAGTAAAGAAAAAATTACCTTCGTTAGTAAACTCAATAAAGGCAAAACGGAGGACAGAATTGGGATCACCACAAATGCGGCAGTCAACAACCTTCACAAGGAAAGAACTAAGTTCAAGTGTTCAAAAGATAGCCATAATGGTAATTGGATAAGAAAAATAATACCTGCCCACAACTGACAAATAAACCTGCAAGCTGCTCTTCAGTGACCTACATCCCAAGAAACAGAAACAATATATTATGTCTAAGTAAACCATGTGCAAAAAATAAAAAAATATATGGTAGAGATCAAAAGGGAGGATTGATTGCAGCAGGCAGGAGGAAGCTGAAGGAGCTCCAATAGTTTTACCTGGTGGTCAATATCAGACACATAGACAGTCCGGCGGATTATCTCTTCTCTCTGTGCCATGCTTGTCCTGCAGTTCATTCTCCGTTTCCCTTGACCATAGCTTTTCTTCTGAGAGAGGAACATCAACCAATGAGAAGAACAGAGTACAAAAAACATGCTGATGACCCTCAGCAGTTCAAAAAATTGAAGAGTTGGAAATGATCAAACCTCCTGAATCTTAAAATTCACAACATCTGAAATAAGTGAATTTAAACCCACACAACGTAGCCAAATAGATGAAAAGGTGTTTAACAATTGTCCATGTTTAAACTAAATGCAGAATATGAACTTTCCTTGTTTCTCTCTCCTATCTTTCTCTCTTTCTTTTTTTCAGGAATTAGACCAACAATGCTCTTTCTTGAATGTCATATATAAAGCAATAACAGAAACATAAAATCAAAAATCTTTCGAATCTCAAATGCCTTCACTGTTCCCTTAAGGAAACAGGAAATTAATCAGTGGAACTTTGCAATAAACATATCAAATCCATTTATCTCCTGAATTTTTTCCTATTAAAATATACAAAGCTAAGGTTAAATCAATAAAAATGTGATTTTGATGCCATACCCGTCTACCAGTTCCATTGCTGTTAATTTGACCATTCCCGTTCATATTGTTGTTGGGTAAAAACGAGTTATTAGCATAAAACCCTCCATTGACCCCATTGAGCGCATTTCCATTCAACCCATGGTTAGCATGTGAAGGAGGGACAAACTCCTCAGCCATAGGGTTTAACTTAGAGAATAGCTCCTGCAACTCTCTCATGTCCCTCTTGAAGTTGAAGCTGTCCTCAACTTCATCACCATTACTCCTCTGCAAATCCCCACTGTTGGATCGATGATGCGGGCCACCGATCTTGCTGTACAACCCTTGATCGTTCTGGTGCAGATTCTGATCGACTCTTCCCCTTCCATGGTTTTGCTTGGTTTGATCCTGATCGTTAGACACAGGAGAGGCACCTTGATTCGAACCATTCTCAACAACAGCCATCACTAGATGATTCCCTAAAAAAAAAAAAAAACGGAAAAACCTCTTCTTTTATTAAATGATCAACAAAAAGATAACTAATTTACAGATGTAGTAGCATAAACCCAGAAACCCAAAAACCATAAATTCAGCCCAGAAATACTAACACAGAATCAGAACTGATGAATCCTAAAACTAAGCTCAAATCATCTCCATTGACGAAACCCATAAACCATAAACCCAGTACAAATAAAAAAAAAAAAACCACTTAAAAAACAAATCTTTAATAATTTCTTACAGTTCACGTACAAGTATTTATTTCCGTATTTCTGGGTTTTTGTTTCTACGCTGATTCCAAGGATGACCGGAGGAGGCACTCGACGATGTTGGCGCCGATCTGCTTCATCACGCCATCCGGAACCGGAAATGTAAAACCTCCATAACGCAATATTCTTTTTCTCTCTGAACAACGCTATATTCCTTTGAGACGCTACATTACATGTATGTATGTATGGGAATGGTATATATACCATGATGCGGCATGTCGTTTTTGACATTTTCTTGTTTCGTTTGCTTACGTGGCGCGAATCAACTGGGCAATGGGTTTGTAACTTTTTTACCGTTACCGTTTACCGTGGTTGGTTTTACCACTGTACCTTCCTCTCCTGAGTATGCGGAAAGTAGGAAATATCGAATTGGGGTAGTTTAGTAATTTTATCGATGAAGGAGAGAGGCCAGCTCACCAACACCGAACCGCTTTGATGCGGATGTTGACTTGCATTTGTTCCGGTGGTGTTTGGTTGGGTCGGCGGTTTTTAAAGTGAAAAGAAAAAAAAAAAAATTATCATCACGTGAAAGAAAAAAAATAGTTTTAAAGATTTAAAATTAAATATTAATTGTGACATTTGTCCGTAGCATTTTTAAATAATTTTTTAATAAAAATATCTTTTCATTATCCTCAATTGGTAGTCAACTAATGGCCTTTCCGATCCGCCCATGCCCAAATATTTTTATTTATTTAGGCTAAAAGGTGAAGTTTCAAAATTTTTTAACATTTGCCAAACAATGTCAAAGAGAACCAAACTTAATTGCTCTAGTGGTTCACTCTCTATAGCTTAGCGCTTAAGCAAACTCGTTGGTTAATTTAGGTTTCGTTTAATATATATGATTTTAATTTTAGATTTTTTATTTTAGTTTTTAAAACAACAACAACACTATAAATATAAGGGGTTAGTGCTTGTTTATCTTATTTTCAAAAAATTAATAGAAAAAAGATAAAAAAATATTCTAATTCATGCTTTAAAAATATGATATTTTAATTTTTTTTGATATGTGTTTATTAAAATGACGTAATTTTAAAATAATATTTCTCTTAATTTTTAAGAAATAAGATTGATAAACACTATTTTTTAAATATAATGCTATACATAATTAAAAATTACATAACATTAAATAAAATATAATGTAAAATTAAATAAGTTGTTACATATATATAATATTATAAGTAATTTTTTAAATAAAAAAATTAATTATATGATGACAAATAGTATTATAAATTTATAATATTATATAATATAATAACTTTAATATTTTTGTTAAAGTAATAACTTAAACCCTTAAAAGAGCTTGACTTGATGACAAAAAAGGAGGAAATGTTCACATTTAAGAAAGAATTCACCATTTTACAATGTAAATGACATCTCGTTGCAAACAAAAACTTTTAAACAAGAAATTCCAATATCAGGGCGCCTTTTCTCCTATCTTAAAATTTTTATTGTGCACTCTGTGGTCCAGTACAACAGTTTTTCCGTCTAAAACATTCATGTGCATCCAACCCAGTCCCCCTGGAAAAATTCAACAATTGAAAAGGGCCTGAGCTGGACCGTTAGCGCTGGGCCTCCCCTGGAAAATTAAGACATTGGGCTCGCGATATTTTGAAGCCGAGCCGAAAGAGAAGGACACGGACGCCAAAACAATTCATAATTCAGGTTTTTCTACGATTCCCTTTCAGTTCCGTTTGGCCCTGCGCCTGAACAAGCTATACTCCCCGTCTCGTACCCCTCCCCGCGGAGATCCATATGAACAGATAAACAAACCCCATCCCTCTCGCCTTCAGCAAATCATCAAATCAAGATTTCAGAGGAACTATATTGTCGCCAGGTACTCAATTCTTGAACCTCAAGTTAGTTTTTGTATGAATTGGGCGTTTGATTCGTAGGGCTGTTAATTAGATGGAAATTAGGTTAGGTTTTGCAGATTTTGTTGAAGAATAGGGAATTTTAATTTGGAAGTTTAGAATAGGTTTTTTAGAAAGGAGCCATGAAAGGTCGAACCCACCGGCTGCAGAGCGCGGACCACCATGAGGACTGGGTGGATGGGTCGTGGACTGTAGACTGCGTCTGTGGTGTCAATTATGATGATGGCGAGGAGATGGTGAACTGTGACGAGTGTGGTGTTTGGGTGCATACACGCTGCTCTGGTTACACCAAAGGCGATAAATTGTTCACCTGTGACAAGTGCAAGGGTAAGGGCAATCGAAATGACAGTGAGGAGACTGAGGTTGCACAGTTGCTTGTAGAATTGCCTACAAAAACGGTTAGAATAGAGAGTAGTTATGTTGGGCCTAGGATTGAAAAACCTATGGAGGAGAGGGTCCATGTGCAGGGGGTTCCAGGGGGTGACCCTGGTCTTTTTGGAGGGTTGTCCGGGATTTTCACACCAGAGCTGTGGAAGTGCACTGGATATGTGCCCAAAAAGTTTAATTTTCAATACAGGGAATTTCCATGTTGGGATGAGAAGAAAGGGGCTGATGTGGAGAATGATAATGAAAATGGGAATGGGAATCTGGTTGATAATGGTGCCGGTGTGCTGTTTTCTTTGTCTAAGGAGAGGGTGTTTGGTGCTCCAGTATATCGCAAGAAGGAGATCTCAAAGGAGGTGAAGAAGCAGGAAGACAATGATGTGGATGAACGAAGCTTGCAAAATGGGGTGAGAAAGGACAGGTGCTTGTTTCAGCCTATTTTTCATTCTAGTAAACGGAAGAAACAGGAGCTTGGAGTGTCCAAAGATTGGAGTGGAAAGAAGAAGGCCAGAACCCCTGGTGATAAAGAAACTGATGAGAGGAAGAGAGCTGCACACCCATATAAGACAGGTTATTTGATGAACTTTGCTATACCTTGAAATGCTATGTGACATATATGCAAATATTTAGTTTCTCTTATTAATGTGGGTCTTTCCTCTACTACCTGTGGTTTTTTGTTGAAAAAACCACCACTTGAGTCTCATCACATAAGCATGTTAACTCCAGATTTTTTTTTTTTTTTATTTGTTTGCATTCTTATTAGTAGTGTTTAGACACACAAGTGATGCAAAAAAATTGGAATTTTATGAAGACAGAGGTCCAAAGTCTTCCAAGACTGATGTTCAGAGTGCGAAGACCAAGCATTTTAAGGACAATCCCCTTGAAGAACAGATATCAGATGGTAACCTTCCACTGCATGGGAACAATTTAGTGGCGGTTGTACGCTGTTCCAAAGCTTCACCTTCTGATATGTCTGGACATAATTTTGCAATTAGTGCTGAGATGAAGGAGGACAAAGCTGGGCATCAACTCCCTGCAGTGATTAAAAGTTCTCCAAAAACTGAAAATTTTGTTGCATTGCCCATAGGAAACGGGGATTCTGGAAGCATAGCTGCTAAAGAAGAGGTATGCTTCATCTATGCCTCTTGTTTGTAGTTTTTGTCAATTTAATGCTGAGTTCTGTATTCATGCTATTGCAAATTGACATGGTCTTGATAGCTTAATATCTTGATGAGTTTCAATACTTCGTAACTGTTATCGTACACCTGATGGCACTGCCACAAGCACAAGCAAGCACACAACTATGCCTAGTTTTGTGAATTTAAGGCAGTCATCTGGACCATGTGTCTACTTGCTTTATAGCTAGATTTTGTGAAGTTGTGTTTTTGGTGATTTCCTTAAGAGACTGCCTATACAGCTTTTCTTAGGGAATTTTTTGAGACATTAGCTAAGTAATCCAGCTATGAAACTTTTTAGTGGCGCTTCAAAAATATGCCTAATTTATGACTTATGTAAGATACATAACAAAGCATAGAGCAGGACAAGTATGTAAACTTCCAATTATATGTAAAACAGTGAAGCTCAGATATTTGACGATTAAAAGTGGAAAAACTGGGAAAAGCAGTAGAAATGGCTTTATTGTGCTAGCACTGGCCAAAACTTTTTCTCCTTCAATCCTTGTGGGCTTCTTATTATTATGATTCCCATCTGTTTTCATACTCAGAATTTAAAACTTGCTTCTGGTTGTTTGAAAACATCAGACTGAAGGATCATCATATCAACAGACTTCCAATTGTTGACTGATTATATTGACTGCTAGTCTCAAGTACTCTTTTGCATATCCACTTTGCAAAATTGTTGATATTGTTAGTGATCATGTCTGCAGCTCACTCTCTATTAGCAGTGAGAATTTTGCATGCATAATTATATGCCATACGAGCTTTTGCTTATCATGTTGGAGTAATCATTTGTTCTTATGACAGGATCATAGCTTGAAAAATGTTAGGCTGGATGGTAGTAAGGAAGTTTATTCAAGAAGTGCTCAGGAACATCAAATTGAAGATATTGGTGGTGCTGCTGCAGAAGTTAAAGGCAGTCAGATTCCTCAAGATTTTAAGGGCAGCAAGTCTCAGAGCTCTGATCAGGCTAGTATTAAGGTGAAAATTGAAATGAACGATGATAATTCAAAAGGCATCACAAATGTGCAGTCTTCTCCACCTTCTGATGCTAAAGACCCAGGGATAACATTCCATCACATGTTAGAGACTTCCAAAGTGAATGATGCTGTCAGAGGCAGTTCACAATCCTGTGATCGCAAGGCACAGATTGTTAATGGAGCTTCTGAAACAGTTGGTGAATGTCATAATGGTAATGAATTATCAAATGATCCTTTGGAGTGTCTGGAAGGTTCTGACTCACTGCAGAGAAGTTCTTCAGAATCCAAGTGTCGTCCAGGGATTGCTGAAGATTCAATAAAGTTAGAAAAAAATGTCATGAACCCACAAGCTCCATCTAGTCAGCATAAAATGGTAGTATGTGTTGGGAAGTCTTCTACCACTTCGGGCACTGCTCTGACCACTGTGTCATCTACTCCAGAGAATGCTAAACCTCATGATAGTCAGGATTCTAATCCTAACATTAAGGTTCGAGTAGTATCCGACTCTAGTGCTAATGTTAGAAAAGATAGTGCTGGTAGCAATGTTGTAACAAATGAAGACAGGAATGACTTGTCACGGAAGACTGTAAAAGAGCGTTCAAAATCCTCTGCCATTTCTGCTCCAAAATCCTCTGCCAGTTCTGCTTCAAAAGTTTTGCATCAGAGCAGGATGTTACATGCTTCCGTTTCTAAGAGAATGGCATCAGAATCAAAAGATTCTGTGCTTCACTCATCATCAAAGGCTTCTTCTCTGCAAAATACTTTAGTACCTCCTGGTCCTGGTGAGTCTGCTGGATCATTGCAAAGTCAGTCTGCTTCACATATACAACATAACAAGTCAAATTTTCAGGCTTCTTCTAAGACTAATAATGCATCAGCAGTGCATCCTCCTGCCCCTTCAAATTCCCTTGCTGCTCTGAGTGATGAAGAGGTACAAAGTTGTATTTCATAAGTTAAAGTTTCCTTGTGCTTTTCTTTGATAGTTTTCCTTTAGGGCCTACTTTGACAGCTTCTTCTCTCTTCCCCTTCTCTGTTTATTTCAGCTTGCTTTACTTTTGCATCAAGAACTTAATAGTTCTCCAAGAGTACCTCGTGTTCCACGTGTGCGCCATGCAGGTAGCTTTCCTCAGCTTGCATCTGCTTCCGCAACAAGCATTCTAATAAAGCGCACATCAAGCTCTGGAGGAAGGGATCAGAGTTCGGTAATACATGCGTATCAGCATCATCTTGACATAACTTAGCTTCTGTTCTCTGTAATAGTATGCATAGGTTAGTGAGATTCACCTTTAGCAACCTACTAATATATGATGGGTTTTGATAGGTTTCTAGAAGAAAAAACAAGGATGCATCTAAAGATGGATTTCATGGTTCCCGTGAGCTTGATGATGAAAATAAAAAGACTGCCCGAGTGCCATCATCACCTGATCGGAGGAGACAAGATATTGGATGTGCAGTAGATGCTTCTTCCAGGAGAGAAGACAAGAATGTACCTCCCACAATTACTGCAACCACAAATAGTGGTCCGTCTTCCTCCACTGAGGCTAATGATCAAAATTTGTCATCAATACGCAATTCACCAAGAAATATATCTGATGATGATGCAGGCACTGTTCGAGATCCTGTACCTCGCACTTTACCTGGTAACTGCCACTCTCATGGAGTTTAGTTTTGTGGTTCTTTTTTCTCAGTGAAATCTTTGGATTGAGTCAGATTAAGTGTATCTGTTTACAGCCTAACTAGCCCTCTGTGACTTTTTTCCTTGATTTCAGGATTGATAAATGAGATCATGAGCAAAGGTAGGCGAATGACATATGAAGAACTTTGTGATGCTGTTTTGCCGGTATGGTTGCATCAATCTAATCTAGCAGAGCACCTGATTTCCACATATCTCATTATGCTGCCACTCGGAAATTGCATCTCATTCTTCTCTACTCTTTTCTGCTTTTGTTGCAGCATTGGCCAAACTTGAGGAAACATAATGGTGAGAGATATGCCTATTCCAGTCATTCTCAGGCTGTTCTTGATTGCCTGAGAAATCGTCATGAATGGGCTCATTTGGTTGATCGTGGCCCCAAGGTAAGCATACAATCTGTTTGTTGATTTCATATATGCTATTAATTTGTAAGTGCAATGTGTTATGTGTATACTTTTTATGGATGTGAGTTCAAGAGGTAAACTCTTCTGACCTTGAGCTACAAAAACGGTCTAATATTTTACATCTATATATGGTGATTAATGTTGAAAACACGTATGTTTTTTGTATGAGTATAGCCTGTCTCAATTTTGTCCATCTCCCATGTTGCTCGTGCTTCTTGATTCAGTGAATCGAACCAGTGGTGCTACTATTCTCCAAGCAGTATTATCCTCCATATAATTTTGCTTTTGGTTATATATGGTGAAAATACTATATTGCCATTGGATCTAACTGTGAAGTTAATGTTTATTCTCTAAATAATAATAATAATAATAATAATAATAAAACTCTGAGGTTAATGTTGAAACCACATCATTCTGTGCCAGACTAATTCAGGTAGGAAAAAGCGCAAGATTGATGCTGAAGAATCTGAGGATAATCAATATGGCAAGGGAAGAACTACAAAGGAGGTAGATGTAGAAAGCAAAAGCCTTGACTCACAGAGGGAAGAGTTTCCTAAGGGCAAACGCAATGCAAGGAAGCGGAGGCGACTGGCTTTACAGGGAAGGGGAATAAAGGATGTTCAGCGGAGACGGAAGGCAGATTTTACTGATGATGACAATGGGCCCTTTTCTGATTCCAGTGAGGAGAGCATGTTCAGTGAAGATGAGATTCAAGGAGGTGGAGCCTCCCCTGATGGAAGTGAGGACACAGCCAGCTCTGATGAGACAGAGACTGAATGATAACTTAGGCTTAACCATCTCATTTTTGTGGTCTAACAATTAGAGGGCTTGGCCATTTATTGTTAGTTACTGGTTAGTGTGCTCACTGTTATGTTTCTGAGAAAGAGTTCACCCTGTGCATCTATTTTGAGATCAATATAGGTATGATGTGACCTCCGCTGTGTGGTGTGTTGTTTGCCTCTGGTGCCTCCCGGTGCCTGCAGATCATCAATCATCTTCATGGCAAATCAGTTTCTCATTCTTCCTATTTTCATCAGCTCAACCTGACTGTGATTAAGTGGTTTAAGAGTTGTAATGTAGCTAAATGCCAATGTTTAGCGTGATTAGGAACTTCTAGTTGCAATGTATGTATATGATTTCTGATTCTTGTGACCAGGTCAGGTGTACATTGGCTTATTTTTTCTGAGGAATATATATATCCTGCTTAAATTATGCGAAACTTCTTAAAGTATGAGAGAACACAAGTGGATTCTTTAGCTTGTAGCGTTCCCTCCTATTTAGGATTAATGTGACGTCTGTCACATACATGTTCTCATTTTTGGAATTAAAAGAAATTAACATTCCTTACTATGATTTCTTAATTTCGTCTCTCTTTTTTTTCTTCTAACTTAGTATTTATCTATTAGATATTTCGGACTCACCATTTATAACTTTGATTTGGTGTATTTAAAAAAATTAAATTCTTTAACTATCAACTTAAAAATTGACTCTTGTACCAAGATAATGTATGCTTATTAGTATGACTTAACGAATCTTTTACCTTAAAATTGTCATTTTTTTTATTTTTTAATAAATAAATAAATATATTTTTTTTGTCTGATCTTTAGTGGCTTAGTGGCCATTCTCTTGCATGAATGTGGTGAACATAATAGTTTGGATTCAAATCCTATGTCTTATTTTTTTTCCCTT